ACCATTAAGTTAACCCTACTGTTCTCCAAATAATACACAAAAAATGTCTCTTTTGAAGTCTTTCGGCCTTTGGCATGACTGTTCAGTGGTTAAAACAGTTACATTTAAGTTAAGATTACGATTAAGAAATAAAGTACTAAGAGATATAAATTTGTACGCAAATAATCGTCAAAAATAATCATTGTAAATAAAAATAATAACTAAAAAAACAATTGCTTTTTTTGCAAAACCTCTACTAAAAAATAATATATATAAAGAGTTAAAGCATAATAAAGAAAAAGTTGTAACACATGTCTATATCAAGAAGAATAAAACTTAATATGACATATTTTATTTAATTTCGAATTGATTTTTGGAAACATATTAGTTATAAATGTGATTGCAATTTAAAAAAAATCTTTAGCATCAGTTTATTTATATGTGTTGTTTCTGAGTTGCGCCACTGCTGCTTATTGATTCTGGAGCTTTTTTTTCTCTTCAATAAAATACTTTTAAAGCTTCGTTTAAATCAATTTTAAATTGTTTTCTCTTTAAAAAATTTGAAAAATTTAATCTATTACCACCTATCCCACCTATTACCATTTCCAGTTGGTAGATTATGATAATAAAATATTGATAATGAAATGTTGGATAATGAAATGTTTTTAGAAAGAGCACATTCATGCTACCCTTGCTACCCCAGCCAAAAGGACAGAAGTAGCAATTGCTACCCTAAGCTACCCCTTTTCGACGTACCTGCTTTTTATTGGAAAACAATTTGAATAAAAAATTTGAATGAAAACCATCTAAAAGAAAAATATAATTATACTTAAATTTTTCATAGTACGCTAGATCAAGAAATAATAAATTATTAAAAACGTGTTTTTTTGCTTTGATCTTACTCGTTTGATCTATAGATTATAGACTCGTATGGTCTATGCACATGTTTTTGCGCAAGTATGAAGTTTTATGACGATTATGTTTTAATTTATTAATTAGAACAATTTTATTTAATTGTTTTGTTTATTTTAAATGTGTTTTAAGTTATTAAGGTTATAAACTGCAAACCTTGGAATTAGAAAAAATGAGGTTATTATATGTTAAGTAAAAACAATTACTAAAAAACCATATTAATAATATTAAATATGTTACTTGCTCATTAGGGTACAGTGAATTTCATATGTTTTTGAAAAAAATAAAATTAAAGCTTAGGAAAAGGTGTATTCTTATGTAAAATTAAATTTTAAGGTAGGTTTGCTATGAACAACTTTTTGATTAGAAAACGTTTTGATACCCAAATTTTCATATTTAGACATTATTAAAATGAAATATACTTTAATTATTATAAAGTAAATTTAATCCGGTTTTATGTTTAGTTTCTCATAATAAGCGCAGTGCCAAATCAATTTTTAAAGAAATTCTTAGCTCTCCACCGTAAAAAACATCTAAACAAGATCGTAGTCTGTAAATATTTTATTTGTTATATTATCAATTTATTCATAAATGTCGAAAGTTAAAACTAGATATTCATCCACCACTAGAATTTCTGAGTTTGTTGGACCTGGAAAAGATTTTATTCCTAGTGAGCTGCCTACAAACAGAGCAGTTATTCAAAAAGGAATTTTATTAAAAGAACAAAAAAGCATAACATGCAATTTACACCAAAATAAATATTCTAACAAAGATCTTGCTAGCGATCTAATTCCACTTGTTCTTGCTCAATGGAAAAAAGCAAGTATTTTATTTCAACAACCAGTTATTATTGGGGAGAAATCGCTTTATTATAGAATAAAAACACTTTGGGAGAAAGTAGAAAACGTTGCATGGGGAAGAACTAAGGTAAAAGTAAAAGAAGAGCTAATATCGAAGTTAGATAAACTAATGGACCTCATAACATGTCCTCACGCAATACTTCTATGCGAGCATAATCTGTCTGGGTGTTCTTCCCCCAAAAATTGTAAAAATAAAGCACATATAAATTGCACCTGTATTTATTCTAAAAAAATTCCAACTATGGAGCTCAGGTGGTTATACAGTCAAAGAAATAAGACAGGTGAAAAGTCTGACATGCAGATGGGACATGCTGATAAGATTGAGACAATGAAACTAAGAAAAAAGTATAAGAGAAAAGTCAGCGATGAAGAAGCTTACAAGAAAAGAATTAAAAAAATAGAGGAGGAACAAGCATTCTTCGAGGTAAATATAATTTCTTAATAATAAATATTTTCTTTTTTTGTATAATAATAATAATAATAACAATAATATATATATATATATATATATATATATATATATATATATATATATATATATATATATATATATATATATATATATATATATATATATATATATATATATATATATATATATATATATATATATATATATATATATATATATATATATGTATATATATATATATATATATATGTATATATATATATATATATATATATATATATATATATATATATATATATATATATATATATATATATATATATATATATATATATGTATATATATATATATATATATATATATATATGTATATATATATATATATATATATATATATACATATATATGTATATATATATGTATATATATATATGTATATATATATATATATATATATATATATATATATACATATATATATATATACATATATATATACATAAAAAACACAGCTATAGCTAGTATAAGGTAATTATATTGACTTTTGTTTTGTTGAGCAGCAACATGAGTTAATAGAAATAAATATAAACCATTCTTGTTTTATAGGTTTGGGATTTCACCTGCCGCAACTGCAGCAATTGCTACAAGTTATCTTCAAGATTTAATTGAAGCAGGATTTCTCACCCCTAAGTCCTCTTACCTTGCTTGTGATCCTTCTAAGTTGACGAGAGAGAGAAAAAAGGTGATGGTAGTTGCGAAGAAAAATGATAATTTAAAACTTCCGAAAGCAGATAATATTGCCATTTACTTTGAGGGAAGGAAAGATTCAACAAGAGTAATGATAATAGATTCAAATGGACAGCTACATTCTATTATTATCAAAGAGCAGCACATTACTGACTATAGAACCTGGTGGTCGATATCTTGGCCATTTTACCCCAAATGCACCTAATCATCTAGATAAGCCAGCTAAAAAGATTGCTGAAGGTGTTTATAATTTGCTGCAACAATATAATCTTACTGAATCATATTTAGTACTTGGAGCTGACAGTACTTCAATTAACACAGGCTGGAAAGGTGGTGCTATAACGCATCTTGAAAAGCTGTTAGGTCACAAGTGCCAGTGGGCTATATGCATGCTTCATTCGAATGAATTATTTTTGCGCCACCTTATAGAAGGCATTGATGGACCAACATCATGTAGTACTGGATTTGTAGGTCCTGTGGGAAAATTTCTTCCTGATGTTAATAAAATGGAGTATAATCCTCAATTTAAAGCTCTTCCAAATGGAGAGAGCTTTGTCGACATTCCAGAAACAATATTAAAAAATATGTCAACAGATCAGAAACAATGTTACAAGCTATGTAAAGCAGTTAAGATTGGTTTATTGCCACCTAATCTTAGAGAAATTCAATGTGGCCCCTTAAGTCATGCCAGATGGCTCACTACTGGCATGAGAATAGTCTTTATGTGGACAAGAAAACACAACTTAAATGATCAAAATTCGCAAAATCTAGAAATACTTGTTGTATTTTGTTTACAATTTTACTTTAAACTTTTTTTTGACATAAAGGTCAAAAACAGACTTGAAGATGCTTCTTATCACATTCTGTCTCAATTGAGAATTCTTAGAATGCAACCTGATAGAATAAAAGAAATTGTGTTTCCCTACATCCAGTTAGGGGCTTGGTATGCGAACCATGAAAGTATACTAATCTCTTTATTATCTAGTAATAATGCAGAAGATCGCAATTTTGCAGTTGATCAAATTTTGAAACTAAGGGGTAATGATATTCTTGGAGATATGCGAATCAGACCAAGAAAAACACCTAAACTTAACTTTGCAGCAACTACTCTTCAAGAGCTAGTTAAATGGGAAAATGGTGTTGTAGAAGAACCTGTTTTTACTTGTTCGCTCACCAGAGATAAGTTGTTATTACTTAGATTGATACCTTTAATAACTCCTTCGATTAAAATTCATACTCAAAGTACTGAACGTGCTGTAAAACAAGTGACAGTAGCATCCATGTCAGTAGTTGGACCATATGCAAGAGATGGGTATATTAGAGCTAGAGCTCAGCATAGAGAGTTGCTACCTGTTTTTAAAACAAAGAAAGAAATTTTATTAAATTTTTAACTTCAATAGATTTTTATTTTATTTGTTTTTTAATAGTGTTTTAGTAGTTCTATCAAAATATTATTGGGGTAAGATAGGGGGATAAACCACCTATTTTTTGGTGAAAGTATAAAGAACTGTTATGATCAAATTTTTTAATCATTAGAACCTCATAAAAAATTGAATACCCCCTCCTCCTCCCTCTAAAAAATGCAGAATCTGCACTGCAGATAGGATCCATGCAAGATAATGATTTTAAAAAGTATCTAAAAAACTTTCAATAATCTAAAAATATTATTTGCATTTAATATTTTATCGCAATGAAAATGAAAATATAAAATACAATGAAGGACATGTGACAAATTAGATTTTACTAATTTTTGCTATTTCTAAAAGTCCATATTTGGGTATCAAAACTTTTTCCGATCAAAATTTTTTTTTAAGAAACCCTCTTTAAAATTTGATTTTATATAAAAGTACACCTTTTCCTAAGCTTTTAGAAAAAAAAAAAAAAATTCGCTGTACCCTATTGCTCATTACACTATAACTGCAACTTAAACTTTAAATTAGAAACAGTAACTTATGCTATTTTATAAATATATATATATATATATATATATATATATATATATATATATATATATATATATATATATATATATATATTTATATATATTTATATATATACACATATAAATATTAACTAAGTAATTTTCTTACCTCATCTTGTTCTCTAACAGTTACTTTACTAAGACTATTTTTTGCTGGCATCTCACTTTTCATTGTGTCATCTAAATTAGTTTCTAAAAAAAAAAAATTTTTGTTTGTATTCAAAAAAAAAAAAAAATTTACTCAGCAGCAGAGGAAAACAATTATATTGTAATCATCAGTTGTAATTACAGTTGAATGTTTTTGAACAACAATGAATTTAGAACAACAAACTCTCTTTTAAAAAACAACATTTACCAATTTATTTGTAATCAAATTATGAAAGTGAAAAATGTGATAATCAAAAAAAAATTAAATTTGTATTAAATTTTGCATATCTGTCTGCATATTTACATTATCTCTTTATATTTATTCAAAAGTTAATTAAAAATTAATTACCTAATAACAAGTTAAAAAATTTTTTGTTTATCTAAATTATCGAAAAATATATCATATAGAACGAAATAAAAGTGAACAGAAAAGACTCAGGCTGTCAATAATATCACACCAGTAATTTTTTTGACTGGCACTACAGTAAAAGACAAGATTGTTATGGAAAATTCTAAGCAGACTTTATTAGATGAATATTTAAAGTCACAAAAAGCATGGAGCATTGATGACTCAAGATCTCAAACTATACATCGTAAAATTGGGTTGATGATGGCCTTAGATAACCAGCCATTTACTTTAGTTAAAGATACAAGTTTTAATAACTTGATGCATTATTTAGAACCCAGATATTGCTTGCCAAGTATAAAAAAATTTTCCAAAACAATAATGTCTTAACTTCACATGGAGCTAAGTAATAAAACTTCTTATAATTTAATTAAATCAAATTATATAAGCTTTTTTCTTTAAATATATGGACATGCCCAATTTCTTATGAACAATTTATTCCATTGTCAAGCCACTGCATTGATAAAGATTTCCACAGAATCAATGTGGTATTTCATGCTTCTCATTTTCCTGAATGCCATACTGGAATAAACATTTACAAAAAGTTAGAAAGTATGTGGGAAAGTATATGTAACTTAATAATTCAAAGTCCAGAATGTTCTTTCAACCACAGTGATTGTAGCGCCTATATCCTTTTACTTTGTTCATAATGGCTGTTGTTAACTTCCTCATTTTTAAATTTAACTTTACAACCATCACTGTTGCTTTCATTTGTTATGGAATCGATACAAAGAATCAGATGTCATTGTACTAAATATATTGAACCATAACACTATTTATAAATGATATAAAAATTTATCTTATAACTATAAATAAATTACATGAGTAAAACTTTAAAAAATCAATACAATATAGATTAAGTTATTTAACATATTTGCACACTCAATAATAACTTAATTGTAAAAAATAATTTAAACTGAAAAAAATGTCTAGTCTATTTATAGAAATTTTAGGAATCATATAAAAATAAAATATAACGTTTGATGGTAAAATAAATTGTTTTTAGTTGATTTATACTGTCCGCTCAACTTATATTGTTTGCTTTTTCTTAATATTGGCTGTCTATTATTCTATATCAACTTATAACCAAAAGCAATTCCACCCAGACTTGCAAAATAATATTGCATTTTTATGTTAATTAGTTTAAAAGTCATCAAAAAATATGAAACTGAAAAATTCATTGTCTTTATAACATAAAACAAAATGTGTTACTTCGGCAACAAAAATTTTACTTCTTATAGAATTATTGAATCAATAAAAAAATAACATTGCAAATAATCAATTTTCAGTCGCTCTTTAAAAAAGTCAACTGTCAAATAACTAGTGTACATCACATTACAAGTGTACATCACATCAAAGCCTAACCAATTCAAAAATATCAGTGAAAATGTTAAACTATACTTGACGCAAAAGTATGTATGTATGTATGTATGTATGTATGTATATATATATATATATATATATATATATATATATATATATATATATATATATATATATATATATATATATATATATATATATATATATATATATATATATATATATATATATATACATACATACATATACATGGTGTATATAAAAAAGCTCATCGACAAATAAAAATTAATTATGTTTTAGCAACAATTTTTTTAAGTTTAAACAATCGTCAGCAACAGTTATTTTTCTGATATTGATTTATTCAAGCATCATATTGCTTTCTATAAAAATTGTTAAAAAATAACGTTGCATTTGATCAAATTTTTTTTTTAACTCTATTTTAATATAATTTTTTATTGTTTTTTTATTGAAACAATTTATTATTTTATAAATATTATTTTGTGTTGCATTTCTTCTTTTTTTTCATATGAAACATTTTTCTAATCTGAAATAGCTCCAAGGGAAAAAGCAAGTAACTATAAGTGACTTTAGTAATTAAAACTAGAATGAATGAGTTCAATACTTTTAAAATTGCTTTTATGTCACATAAGTCAAATTTAAATAAATTATTATTTCTGTTTATTAAAAAGATTTTATTCAAGTTTTAAATAAGCATGTATCTATTATTTTCATTTTGATTAAGTTGTAATTTAGATACGAAGTTAAAAATGCAATTATAAAAATACTGTGTATTTTAAAAATGTTTTTATTTTTCTTCGAATAGAGTGCTCAATGTCCTTAAAGAACAGAGCAATAACAAATTAGTAAAAACACTTTTCTAATTTTTCTTTGACAGCTTATTTCTCCATCAGTAGGTTCATCAGGAAGCATGCAAGCAATGAAATTTCCTGATGAACCACTGATGGAGAAAAAAGCTGTTGAAGAAAAAATTAGATAAGTATTTTTACTAATTTATACATACATACATACATACATACATACATACATACATACATACATACATACATACATACATACATACATTCATACATACATACATACATACATACATACATACATACATACATACATACATACATACATTAGGTATGTCCAAAAAAAAAAATTTTTGAATTCAACCTAGCACAGTATCTCATTTTGTTCCTTTGATGGAAACTAACTTTTATGCAAATTTTGGCATTTATATTTTGATATTTACAAGTTGCTCAATGGAGGTGAAGTTTAACAGTACAGATAAACTTGCCGCGGCTGCACTTTTTTGACTGAAATCTTCAAACTAGAATCACAAGATGATAAAATGTGATAGATACATTACTATTCATTTCAAAAAGACATACTGGTTATGACACAGACAGTGCAGACACAATCAGTCACACATTAACAATTTTTAATTTATCAAAATTAATATCAAAGAAATTAACAGCAATTTTTAAACATGTTCGTTCAGATTTTTATTGCATGCTCATTTATTGTTCACGTGTTCAAAGTTCAACTTATTTCAGTTTTCAAGCTTGCGACGTCTACCGAGGGGCATATGCCATCAGGGTGCTTTTCCGGTAATCTGGAATGCGCTTCCTGTTGTCCTCAACAACTTGGAGGAGTTTCTGCATTTCAGACTCTGTCTTTGTTATTGACTGGTTTAAAGAACTCATCAGTGCAATAGAGCGCTCGGCAGTATCATTGATAACCTTGAGAGAAGCAACAACAGCTTTGGTTTTTCGAAATGAAGCACTTTCTTCCCAACTCGGGGGCTCAAGTCCTGACAAGGTAGTTATGTCAAGTCCAAGTGACTGCAATGCAGCTGTTGATGATGATGTTACCAGTTCATGTAGTTGCTTTTTCTCCAACTCATTACATTTTGATACTGGAAACTTGTTTCCCCTGACACTCCAATCATCTCCACTGAGGATCATGGCTTCCGCAATCAACTTCTTTTCTTCATCAGATACTTTGCTGGAGAACAGTGAAAGAGGAACCATTTCTGTTCCAAGATACCACATGTGATTCTGCAATTTCTTCAAAGCTGCTTGTGAAACAATCTTGTGTACCTCAGCATATCTTTTTATTCTCTGAAACAGCATCAAATCATTCAATGGTGCATCACTTGCCACTGGACAAGCAATCCAAGCTGGTACATAAATGTGAGCTGCAAAAATGCAAAATTCAGACAGGTTTTTCACCTCAGTTGAAGTCAGTTTGAATTCATTCCTGAACAGGAAAATCTTCATGCAATATATGACCTTTGCCATCCATCTTGCCATATGGTAGGCACCCGGCTGTCTGAAATGATATGGCTTTCCACCAGCTGGATGGCTTGGTAGTGTGAAACCCAATATCAAGAGGCAAAGTTCAATCATTTCCTTGTAGTCCTCTCGTGGTAGATATGACGTTTGACCTGACAGAAAAGACAGCAAGAAAGGACCAAATTCTGCTCTGAGTTGTTGCAGCTGTGGAACTGTAAGTCGCGTATCATCAAGTGGAACAAAGTTCATTTGGTCAATAGTTGGCCAAGACTGCTGAAAACGTTCAAATAGAGCAATGTTTGGGCCACGGCTTGGGCCAAGCAAAACTGTGAACACTTCACCAATAATCACTTCATGCACGTGGTGTCGACAAGCTAAGTATAGAAGGTTTCTCCCAATTAGTTGTTCCAGCAAGACACATGCACCATTTTTGGAGCCCGTATTCGAAGCTGTGGTGTCAAAGCACATGCCAACGATTTCACTATCAACATCCCATATTTTGGCCAACTGGAATGTTGCCTTGGCTTGTGCTACCCCAGTGCCCGCTGGAAGCTTGACAATTCCCAAGATTTTCTCCAAATCTACACCAGTCACACTAACACCAATTCGGTCAACATTGGACTTTGGATCCTCTAAGTTCGTGCTGTCTCGCATGATTTTACCGTCCCAGTGGACCACCAGAGGCGGTTTTTCACTGGAGAGAAACTCCTGCCGAATACAATTTTCTGTTGAAGATCGGTGTTCAATACGTTTGCGACGTACTGTTGATCTTGACAATGGCGTGCTTTGTAGGTCCTGTCCACTGGCTTTAGCAATTGCTGCTGCCAAAATTGTAAACTTCTGGTCAGATAAATTTATGCGATCAAGTGTTGATGAAACATCTGGTGACGACAGAATGTTCTCCAAAATGCGTGGTCTTTTGTTAACTGT